TGTTGCCTTCAGAAGCCATATCTGACAGTTGCTTTTGGTGGTTTGTTGATGCAAGCTCCACCCTTTCACCACAAAATTATATACAGACCTTTTAATAAACAGCTGAGAAATACATCCTAGAATACTATTTATTTTAATAAGCACTCACATTGTAGTAGTGCCCAGCTAAGATGCTTTTGTCCCAAAGAGCATACAGTCCCAGTTGTAAAAGTAGTCAGGATGAAACAGCGAAATGGGGAGAAGTGTATGTGAGGATAGCACACCTGAGTGTATGAGGTTGTTTTTAAGTGAAGTATTGATGCCTTGAATGTTCTGTTTCTCCTCTTTTCCTCCAGGAGAGGGAAGGAATGTTCTGCTATTATCCTGCTGTTTTTACCCTCCTTTCCAGTTGCTATCGCCTGTGCTTGAAGCTGATGTTTTTCCCCGATCAGAATGCTCCACTTGCTCCACAAAGTGCCCCAGTGCACTTCGGTTTCTTTGAAGTAACAGCAAAGGAGGGAGCATCATTCTGCAATTCACACCTGGTATCTGTGAATAGAGAAGGGAGGAGGGTTAAGAAGTCTGAGGAACAAAGTGTGAGCATGCTGGTAGACATGTGATAGGACATCAGATGAGATGGCCCAAGTCTTTACCACCAGCTGTGCTGCCTTACTGCCACTGAAGCAGAAGTGCTAGATCTGTTTGCAGGTCAGCTCCTGAACTGCTCCCATCTTCAGCCACATCCACTTATCATATTAAGGTAATCTCTTTGCTAGGTGTGTGATGTGGTCACCAGTTGACCTGAAAGCAGGTCTTCTGATAGTGTGATTACTTTTTCCTCTTGAGTTATTTTTGTCATGGCCCTGTTTACCATGCTGATGTAGCTAGGATGTGATTAAATGGTCTGATTTATTTTCTTTGGTATGTACAGATTTAATAAGCAAGAAATAAAACTCTGACTTAAAATTGGGTGTGTCCACTTTGTTGCAGCAAAAACCTATGCAGATAATGAGTTACTTAGGTGTGGCTGCTGTGCAGGACAGTTTTACATTGCTACGTGGCGTACCACATTAGCACAGCCGTAGTTGAGTATGTCGCACTGGAAGAAACAGAGACTGCTAGAGAAGCTGAAACTGGTGTCACCAATTCCCCCAGGGACTGCCGTTTGCATGCCTAGTTCAGCCTCTCACTGAATTAGTAAATTCTCCCATCAGGAGGACCTGTTGTAACCTCCTGCCACTGCATCAGAGCTTCCTCTGGCCACGACACTGAGGTGCATCTTGTGCCCACTGAGCATGTGAACAGCTTGGTCTGTGGCACCCAGGGCAGCTGGATACCGGCCTTCCCACAAAAAATAATCTAATGGCATCCAGTTTCCTTTATTGGAGACCTCACTGGATTGAGTTTGACAGCATGCTATGCAAACACATGTGGAAGACTCCTATTAACAGTATTACCCATTGCTGTGAACTGGGCTGTGAAGCAACCAAAACATGGCTAAAAGCACACATTTTAATGTTCTGTACCCAAGTAAATCTGCATTTTAAATATTTACCCTCGAATCTTTGCTTACTTTGACTTACTGTGTTGCTTTTTCTTTTAACTTGTTTTCTTTACTTGACTTCATTGTGCTTTTTTTTTTTGGTTTCCCTTAAGAAAGCAGCACCTATTCAAATAAGTAAGTTCCTCACTTGCTTCATCGTGGCAGACAGGACATGTATCGGTCTTTCAAGCTGATACATAGGTAGAGCGTATGTATGCTGTGGCATTTGGAAATCTGTGCACAGAATTCCTGGAATACTAGATATGTTGACTTTTGAAGCTCAAAATCGCCTCCCGAGCGTGTCCTGCCCTACTCCCCTGGTGGTGGCTAGTGAGTGCACTGCTCTTCTGAGGAGGATGAGGAGTCGCTCAGCTGCTCTGATCCCTTCAGGTTGCTTCAGAAGGGCCATGAACACAACCTGGCACTGTGGACGCTTTTTTTCCTGCATTGCTGTTCCTGGCAAATCACTCAAGCGCTTGCCTTTGCTGTGGTCCCTGGATCTCTTCTGCACCAGCAGGCTGAGCAGGAGCCAGAGACTGCGCAGTCTCTGCAGCAGGGAATTCTGCAGAGTTAGCTATAAGCAACAGCAGGGGGTCAGAGGCTTTCTGGAGACCACGGAGAAGAGGATTTTCTCTTTCCCTTCTGCAGCTATAGTCTATATTAGGTGCTTGGTTCACCTAAAAGCATCCGATTGCCAGAAATTAAAAGCTTGCTCTGAGGGGACTTTTCCCCTGCCTGTCCACAAGCAAGTGAATTCATCATCTCAAAGGGAGAAGGGCAACACTTCTGCAAGATTTAAAGCTGTTAGCCCTCTGTTGTGTAAAGTCTATGACAACAGGACACAGCAATAAAGAAAAGATGTGTTGTCCTCAGAAGAAGGGCTGTGTGGCTGCCCACAGAGTTGGTGTCTCTTCTGAAATGTGAGGAAGCCTCTGGAGGTGGCAGGTTGGAGTTGCCGTTCTTACCTGGTTGTAATAGCAGTTGTAGCACAGCTGCAGCTCTAAGTCTAGCTGTGAATGTCCAATAGTGAGTAGCTGTTCGCTGGCCTCTCATGAACCGTGTAAGCCTTTTCTGAGATTACTGACATGGGTAGTGCTGAAGTGAACGATGCTGCAACTAAAGCTCTTGCATCCTCTTAGACTGAGCCACCTGAGCAAACAAAATAGAGTTTCCAGATTTTATCACTCCTTCCTTTCATTTGAAATAAAACACCCCAATTTTTGTGTCTAGTGAGAACTAGTTATAAGCAGGAATTATTTTTTTCATTGTGTACAGCAGTATGGCTGTGTGGTTTATCATGACTAAAAAGTTTGGTCCTTTACGTGTAAACACATGTAATTTACAGTAAGACTTATTGTTGTGCATGGAAATAGCTTACAGTAACAATGAATGGGTGTTCCTCTGGGATTAAAAAGTGAACTAGATCCAACCTTCTTGAAATAAAAATTAATATAGATTAACTGTTATATTTGGCAGACACAATCATACGTGCTTTTTTAAGGGAATGATCCTTTAGGTTTGTTTTTCCTCATACAATAGTCACAAATGAATGCTTTGAATTGTGGGTCTGATTACACTGAGTTTCTGGCTTTGTACATTAAAGTAGACATTTTTACAAGTTGAAGTTATAAATTACAGATTTCAAACCCTGTTTCTTATGTGCGGCAGCTCTTACAGTGTCAAGGGCAGATTTTGTTTTCCTCTTCTTATTATTTTCTTACAATTTTTAAAAGTACAGATAGCATTCAGGACCTTCTGGTTTAGTGATTTGTTGTATTGGGCCTTTTCCCTTCCTCTGAAGCAGTCTTTGCCAAAAACTGCATGGTTGAGTCTTAACATGAAATTAAAATACCCCAGTATTTATGGACATAGAGCATAGCACTGCTGGAAAAGTGTACACTTGAAGAATGAAACTTTAACTCCATAAGTGAGAGTAGGAAGATAACTTTTTATTTCAGTGGACTTTTTGAACTGTAAGATCAGCCCCTCTGACTTATGCCCACAACTTTTTAAAATCTTATTTGAGTTTCTTGGGTACTGTTTCAGAATGGACATATCAACTGACTTGTTACAAATAACGTTCAGTTAAAATGTATTGTGCATGCCTTTTTTTTTTTTTTTTGGAAAAAGAAAATCCAGTAAGTAATGTTTTCTTTACTGTATGCTGCATGATCTCTTGTTCATGTATTTAACTGTCTATCTCAGTTTGCCAGTATCTGGTTTCTTGCCTTGAAAACAAAATTTGATCAACAGTGTGGTTGCATTTTTGATGAAGTAGGGACAGCATGAATGTAAAATATACAGCTTTATGTGGTGTTTTTGCCTAGCATTGCAATACAAGGCGTTACTCATCCGGTATCACAGGTTAACTGAGAGGTGGGCAGATTTTCCAGAGATGCTCATAGAGACCTCCTGTAAGGATCAGTGTGAGACTCTGCATACTAAATTATATTAATCAAGATCTGAATATTAGGTAGATCTTCCTGATAAAATTCCCAGATGGTCTAGACTAGGGAAGTGGTGACAGTAAGTGGGTAAAACTTCCAAATAGCTCTTCTGTTTTTTGGTGAATGGAGTCACTTCAAAGAAGTATGTTTAATAAAGCTGACTTCTAGAAACAAGGAGTGCAGCCTTGCCAGAGCAAGGGAGGAAGACTACCTCGAAAGTACTGGCTGGCAAAACTAAGCTTCATTAGATAATGAAAAACATTTACTAAAGATAATTAAGAGGCTGCATGGATTCTTCAGTTCAGAATTGAAATTGTTTAATTAATTTCTCATTTTAAATTTGAAATGAAAATAATCAAATCAATCAGTTTTAAAAGCTGACTTGGATTACTACTTCTGTGTCTTGGTTATTTCACTAGTAGGCAATTATCTTTTTGGAGGGGGAAAACTACAAGATTAGAGGGTGTCTTTAATGCAACAGAGAAAAAAAAAGTAACAAAACTTGCTAGCTGGAAGCTGAAGACCAATTTAAAGACACTCTTCAACCTCATGCTTTTTGTTAGTTCTTGGTGGTTAAAATCATGGCAAATGCTTGAGATTTTGTTCTTGATCTAACTCAGGAAAACTTACGTTTTAGATTGAGTCATAATGAATGTCTGACTGAAGCATGACTTATTCATTAGATGTATAAAGTTAAATGGTGCTTTTGTACGTGTCTGTGGTTCCTCTTTAATTATATTAATGTAGGAATCTTCTAGATATAAGTCAGCTTCCATGGATCCAGTTCTAGGGTCAAGGCACAGGAACAGAATAGCTTTCTTAAGTCCTCATTAATTAATATTCACTGCTTTGTTGATAGGTGAGTTGTATGCATGATGGGTACTGGTGTGGTGGTGGGGTGTTTGTCCGTTAATGGCCCTAACTTGCTGGCAGTTTTCCTAGTAAATAACTAATTACTGCAATGGATCTCTTTGCTGTCTTATGCAATGAAAACAAATAATAAACTAATACTACTTTTTTTTTTTAGGTAATACTCTACGGGGATTTGCCAAAAAATAAAGAAAATGTAATATATTTATCAAATCATCAGTGTACAGGTTTGTATTTTTTTGTCTTAGCACTTCTATAGATTTTTTTAAGTCTGCTTATCTGTTTACCCTGTCTCTTTCCAGCCTCTTTCCAGCAAGAAGTTCTTGTTCAGAACTTCTAGTCGAGAAACCCGTAATGATATTTATGTGTACAACATGCACTTTTTGTTTCAGCAGTGGCATTTAGAAACTAATTTAACCAAACATTTTGGGCTTTTGTCTTTCCAGTTGATTGGATTATTGCGGACATGCTGGCAGTTAGGCAGGATGCTCTGGGGCACGTCCGGTATGTCTTGAAAGATGGGTTAAAGTGGCTTCCACTGTACGGGTGGTATTTTTCACAGGTAAGCCCATTCACTTTTCCTTTGCTTTTTGTGGGTCATGTAACATGTACTTTCCTTCTGTTTATCCTATGTGCTGGGAAGATGTGGTTCTGAGCTGGCATTTGTTCATTTGAACATGAAAATAGCTGGTTTCACTCAGTGTAGTTAAATGTGTGTCTTGGTTGAGACACCATTGTTAAAGAATCAGTTCGCTCTTATAAGTGAATATTCGTGAAAATACTTAAATACACTAAGATGGTGTTTATTACTAGAATTAAAACTGTAGAGTCTGTAAGAAGTATTTTAGAATATTCTAGAACTTTGTTCTTTTTACACTCCTAAAACCCACTTAGCAGTAAGTGTAGATAGACTTTATACGTATATATATATATATATATGGGGTTTTTTAAAATCATCCTACAAATTGGGAGTGAATTGACATTGCTTTGGTGTACTTACTTATTTTTCCATTGTTTGGTTTTAGCACCAAATAAAAGAGGAAAATTGCACCTTAGTACAGTGGAAAGCCAGCCAACACACTGAGTGGATGTGATCTTTGATCTAAAGTGGTAGAGAACAGTGTAGATGACATTCACCTCCCTAAAATCCTCTCTGGATTTGTTATGTCTGTTCTTTTCTCTCTCTGAAAGCAGCACTGTTTCTATACAAAAATGAAATAAAAGGTAGAGGTGGATGTTTTTGGAACTATTGGTATGTTTTGCTAGGTGATCAGAAATGGCTTCACAGTATTTCCTCTCAGGATTTAGAGGGGTGCTTAGTTGTTAGAATAAAAATTTAGTTTTGGGTAACTCGTCAAAAGTGCCCGCTCAATAAGATTTTTCTCCATTGGCTTCTGTCTTTGATCTTTACCTGTTCCCTGAATATTAATCTGCTTTCCACATCGCTCCTCACCTTCCCGGCAAAGAAAAGGAAAAAACACTTAGAAAATACTTCTAATTGGATTAGATAGCTTGGTTGAATTGACTGTCAGCCCTGTCCAAGAGGATTGGGGATATTGAGATAAATACTACACCAGGTATAATTTGAGCTATATGTTAGTTTGTAGAGGAATATGTGAAGAGTAGACAACTCCAAATGTGTGTCTGAATAGGAGGCGCTACTCTCTCCCTCATCCTTGGCTGCATGTTCCTCTCTCTCTCCCCACTTGCACTCTTGCATCTGTAAGCCAAGTCAGATCAGTTGGTTGCTAGAACCAGCAAAAGGGGGAAGGTCTTGAGTACATGGCCATGGTGTTTGCCATGCTTTCTTCCAAAATCACCATGTTTAGAAAATAATATGCTTCAGAGAAAATAAGACGACTGTTCACGTTTTCTTTCTATTGGTAGGTTTGCTGTTTCAGTCCCCTAAATAAGTACAGACTGTCACACCCTGCCATGCCTCACTGAGGGTATCCACTGGGAGAAAAGGGACTTTTCTGTTGTCTGATGTGTCCCCACTAATGACTCTGGCTCTGTCCACTTTTCTTCCAGTGAAGTGATCAGTCTGCTGCATGGAAATATTTTGCTCTTTGTCTTTTTATGTAGTCATTACATTGGTGGTGATTTAAGTCTGCTTTAATTAAAATACAGACAGGATGTATATTCCATCTTCCATCAGTAGATGTCCAGAAATTATTCTTTTTTTTCCAAGATTTTGGCAAATTGCTGTTGCTATCTGGAATATCCTTCACTCAACTTCCTGACTGCTATATTGACTGTTAAAAGAAGGTTCCTGTGGAAATTAATCTGAATGTAGCCTACATTTTTATTCAAAACATATATATTAAATAAAATCTGTTCAGCTTTGGATTCCTCAAAGCATAAAACTACTACAAGATTTAGTAGGGAATGATAATGTATTTTTTTTCTTTTTTAATTTGGTGACTCAAATGAAAGGTAGCTTGCTAACAGTAGTGATGCGTGTGTGTTTAAATGAACAAGACGGGATGTAGCAGGACTGCAGTGCAAGCTAATAGGTATTTTTATTGTTTTTATCACACCAAACAGTGCAAAAACATAAAACACTTCCTGCCCTTCCTGTTGATGTTCTGTCAGTGATGTCACTTACACTCCACTAAAAGTTTCCAGAGCCACATAGTTACGCCATGCTCACGGAATTCATATTCCCTACCTCAGGTAAACATCCTGTTTGGAAATAAACGTGCTCTGGATGTCCAGGAGAGCGAAATTCAGTCACAAAGGAAGTATATTTGTAAACATAAGCTATTGTTGATGGAGAGAGGGGCTTTTAAAGTACAGCGGAAAAAAATTATAACCTTAAAAACAGTACTTCCAGAAATCTGTTTTGAAAAGCGTTCATATATTTGATCTCTTACTGAAAAGGAAATGCAATACAAATTGGGGAATTTGTGCTATATACAAGTGCATAACTAGCATTCTTCTTTGGAGGCAGATACCTAATAGCAAGAAAAGAAAAGAACCACTTAAATTAACCTGTTATGTTCCAGGTTTTGATTTATTAGGCAGAACTATTTCTTTTCATAGAACTAGCTTTATTATTTTTGGATGGGTCTGAATTTTTTTTTGCCATCTCTTTCTCCACCAAAATACATCTAGTTCCTGTTCATTTTTTACCACCTGGTGAGGCTGGGATATAATTTTGATAAATATTTTTGATATCCCAGAGTTTGCTTGACTGTTTAACATAGGAAGTATGGTTTTGTCTTTTCTGTTACTCGGCATCGGCTTGTGCACCCCTTTGGTTACTGAATTTTAGCCAAATATTTAGCTAGTATGGCATCTCGCTTCTCTTCATCTTTGTAACCCTGCACCATAGTGAAGCTAACTTATTTATGTAGTTGGGTTGTATGCAGCAAATGGTGATCTTACAATATGAAATTTGTCTGTTCTTATGTTAAGTGACTATTCTCATGTTTACTTGAGGAGTACAAATCTGCAAAGTCTGAGGTGGGGACACCAAACCTGTCTTTGGTGTTGTGGTGTCCCTAAGTAAACTGTGCAACAGTAACTTGATTTCTCGAAGTTCACAAATTAAACAAGGAAGAAATGGTTCAGCATTTTCCTAGTTTACTGCAGGTCGTTAGTTATTTGATAAGTAAGGGAAGAGTTTAATTCCAACCTTCCCTCATTTATCAAAGCTTGATCTAGCTGAGCTCACGCAGAACGATGACTTGGCAAATACATGGAAGTCTTGTATAGCAGATGTGCTATTTCTCATACCAAACTGAGTTTGTTTGCCCTTCCTGAAAGCAGTTGTTGTGGTGAGTGTTGCTGTGCAGAACAAGACTTCTACTTCCCTTTAATGGTGTTAGATCTTAAAAACAGCCTTACATGTGGAGGCTGTAGATAACACATGGCGCTCTGCTTGCTGCACAGCTGATGGAACATGTTAATGCCAATATCTACCCAGGACTGGTAAACTGCTGGTGGGACAGTGCTGATACCATGCTCCAGCCTGCTAGAGGCCAGGCTTGGTGGATCAGGGATTCTGGTTTTGGTTTTGTTCCCCTGCCAGCCACAGCAGCACAGCTGAGTGTTGCACCTGGCTATTTCACCTAGGAAGAGAACCACAGACAATGTTAAGATAGAATATTTAATATGGAGTTAATGTACCATTGACTTTCTGTTCCTTTTCACTGCAGCTTTTGAAGAACTTAAAAGTCATGTCAGATACCACCAGCTAAGCAGCTGCATGGCCATCTCTCCACACCATGAAAAGCAAAGCCTGACAACACTTTGCATAACCACCACCTCATAACCCCTCAAACCTTATTCCTGTCCGTGCCATGCAAATAAACACAACCCCAATTTGTACAAAGTACTGTATCATTTCCTGAAATAAGGCATTTGACTGAGGACCAGCTCTTAGCAGTTTTAATCTTACTGTCACCTTTCTGTTAAGAATGTGTAAAATTATAAATGGACCAAAATTATCTGACAAATCCTAACGCCAACAGTGAGGGTGGGCAGAAAGGAGTGTTACCAAGTTAGAGGATCCATTAGAAAACCCATGAAAACAATGGACCTTAAAAGTGAAATTCTGTTATTCGGAAGCTATATATCTTTTTTTTTTTTCTCCCGAATTCATTGTATCAGCAGTTCATTTTGGACCATGTTTGTGTGCATCCTCTTGTTTCTTTATAACTCTCTTTCTTTGTGTGTACTTTGCCATATTCCTTTTACTAAAGTTTTCGTGATAAATGGTGTGGAACAAGTTATAATATTAATCTTTTACAGGAAATTATGTAATTTTTTATAATGGTTTTCAGTAAAAATATTTTTATAAAATCCTTTGCCATCTAAAGATTTTGTTACTTACTCAATTATTATCTCAGTATATAACTTCTTTATTAAAAGTCTGATTCTCTAATAAAGTGCATGGAAGTTTTCAAGACCTATGCTAGTTACTTTTGTGCTATTCATAAATTTTGTATATATAGGTATGATACTTCTAATTCCAATATTTGCATTAGTCACTATTTAAGAGAGGGCACATAAAATTGAAAACATCAACCTATAAGTAGTTGTATGCAAGTAAATTCAGATGTGTGATTTTTCCCTTGATACACACATTAAGCCGCTTGTCAGTGTTGGGAATAGATAGATCCCTGGGGCTGGTTCCAGTGCCATCTGCCAGTTAATTATTTAACACTTTTAAACAAGACACTTCAAGTGTCTCATGTTTTCATTTGGTTTGGTGGGTTTTTTTAGATCTGATCTTTCCTTAAGCAGATTTTGTGAACTTAAGTATGTGCAAATATAAAATTAGTTTCAGGTGCTTTCATCCTAGGAGAAAACACTTTGTGGGCAATTTGCAGCTTGAGTCATAAAGGTGACTTGTCACCAGTCTTGTTTGTTCTATCAACTATTCTGTATTAAACTACTTAAATAATTAATACTTCTTTTTTTTCCCTCTGTTAGCATGGAGGAGTCTATGTAAAAAGAAGTGCCAAATTCAACGAAAAAGAAATGAGACAGAAGTTGCGGGCCCAGATAAAAGCTGAGACGCCGGTAAGATTAAACCTTTCTTCCCCTGCTTTTCCTCATTTCTTTGACTTTTTTTTAATGGCAAAGGCTCTTTGAAGAAATGAGCCATGCCTGATACCTACAAACTGCAAGATAGTAATCATAGATTTGTTTTCTTTCTGTATGTTTATAGTTATTTTCTGTGACTAGAGTGATACCCTTAATTACACTTAGGAAAATTTGACTAGTCACTTATGGATGATACGGACTTTCTGATTCTGTCTGTAGAGGGCAGGCTGGATCTGAACTGAGTCTTAGTAGCTGAGCTGTAGCACGTTCCTTGAGCAACCACAATCAATGTTTCCAGTGTTTCAGAACAGCATTTTGACTACTGTATGCTTGTCAGAGACTGGTATTTTTGTAGAATATCAGTTGTTTGATCTTCTTAAAGTCAAGAACCATTCTTGCTGTATCTTAATTAGTCATCCCAATGATCAATCATTTTTAATGGCAGTGACATCTTAGAACTGAGTAACTTTTCTGCTATGCCTGGAGGAGAAAAAAAAAACCCAAACAAAAAACCAAACACTTGATAATTTTCTATTTGAAGAATGATTGTGAGTGCCAAGTGACTTTTCTCATGACTCTCTATGGTTTGTGGCTCAGTGGTTAGAATCACTGTGCTTTGCTTCTATTACTTGCTGTGCATTAAAATGTTTTCTGCCTTTTGGCTAGACTTAAGAAAACCAACTCAGCAAGCCTTGATATAGAACAGTTACACTTTAATTTTATTTAAAATGATGTGATTAGGACTTGCCATTCCAAATATTAGGTGGCAAACCTTTTATAAGCTGAGGTTTAGATAAAAGGAGTGCATAGGTTGTTTTGACCTTCATAATAGTAGTTTTTTGTTTGGTTGGTTGGCTTTTTTTGTAAAGCAGCCCTGTTTAAGACAGTACTCAAACTAATTTTGTCTTGAACTAAGATTTAGCATGAACGGGGGTTTTTGTTTTAATTGTAATTAAGGTATGAAAGTGGATCTGTTTCCAGTTTCTACCATATAAGCTATAATGACCAGAAGTATATTACAACAACTCAACTTTTTCTGTCCATTGTCTAGTCTAATGATGTCTACATGGAGAAGATGGTCGTATTCAATAGTGGTAACTTGGGCCTGCATTACCAGGGAGGGTCTTGGAATGCTAAAAGGTTGCATTGCATCAAGTTATTTCTTGTATGTCAGAGACAAAGATTCTACTTTCTGTAAAACTTGTGGTGTAATGGACTAAGCAAAGCCAAATTGCAGGATGTATGAAACATTTGTAGTCATACTCCTAAGCAATTGCTCCCCCTGCAGAGTGCTGATTAAGTTTGCTTTAATTAGTCTAGATGAATTATCCTAGCAGGGTGTTTTCCTGCATAGGCCTGTGGATTTCTTGCTAGCCAAAGGGGCAGCTTCTGGTTGAGTCTGGCTTCCCTCTGTACCCTCTAAAATGCAGGGGTTTGTTGTAATAATAAGATTTTGATTGTGATGAGAGTCTTGATTTGAACTCTGCATTAAATTAGTCTACTTTATAGAAACGTGGATTTTTTTTAATACAGCCTTAGGAAGATGTGCCTAGAAACTCATCTAATACTGCATCTCTTTGGAAACCTGCAGCTGATGTTCAGGGTTGGTCCAGTGCTATCAACGGACAGGACAGGATACTGTGTGATTTTAGCCCAATTGGAATGTAAGGGGAAGTTAAAACATAAAGCTTTTCTTTAAAGCTACATCCGCCATGTGTTCTGCTTTCCATGGTGCATGTCTACATGTGATCAATAAATTAAATAAATCCAGGCGGCTTTTTTTTGGGGGATCACCTTTCTTCTCCCTCCTCAGTTTTGTGTGTGATTGAAAACCTATACCTGACCCTTCCAAGCTAATGCCAAATGCATTTGGGACCACTGGAGTCCACTTGCGTAAATTTGGTTTGTGGTGTAATTTGGCTCTCAGGAAGTTCAGTGGTGTTGGAAATGGGCACAGAACCTGAACGTGCTTACAAAGTAGTTGTTGCCATTTTCCTCCTAGTATCTAGGGTAGCAGTACAGGAGGAGAGAAGTGTAACTGCTGCAGAAACGCATTCTGGTTTAAATCTCTTTCAGTCTAACCATATAGGGAGTGACACTTAAGTTTTACGAAGCCACAGCTGTCAAAAGATACTTACCAAGACAGACGTTTGGGGTAAAAGACACAGACCACTGAGTTGTCATTTGAGGGAAGAGTAAACTTTCTGTAATCCACTTTATCTGAGAATTTAAATGTAAATCCTGTAAATGTCCTTTAACCTATAATTACTACTGAAAGAAGAACATGATAACCTGTGTCCTTACTGTATTATTCATGAAGAAACTTTGCAGTTCTGCAACTCAGTGTGACATTCACAAGCAACCATAGTGCTTTCAAAATGAAGACATTTTAATCAGTAAAGCAAGTATGCCCTGAACTCATCAACTTCATGCAAAAATAATGACTTTACTACTCTGGAATTTTTATTAAAGTATATGCAGTGCATGGTGCAGCTCAGGGTGGGCTTTTCCTTGGTTTAGTGAGCAGCTGTTGCTTGGTCATTCTGTGTGAATGTGGTGGAGTTCTTTTTTTTGTAATGTAGTGTTAGAGCAGAGCTTGCCTTTCAGCTGCAAAGGGAAGAATTATGTGCCAATAGAGAGGAGATGGATGGGAATCTGTGTTAAGGGTCACTTTGTTATTTACAGTTTCTCTCCACATACAGTTTAAACAAAAGAATCCAAGTGATTAATGTTCAGTCTGTCTGGAGCCATCCCTGTTCCCATTCAGAAACTGGAGACGTGTAGGAAGGCAGAACCAGTCCTCTGTTCTCAGGAGCACAGCGAGACCTTTGGTTGGTTTACTGCCTCGTGGCATCTGGTGGTTCCTTTTTTTTTTTCTTTTTCCTTTTCTTTTAATGAAAAGTAAATTGGAGGTAGAACACAAACAGGAAAAATAAAGCAGCCTCTTGGCCTTTACTTTCACAGCAGAACTGGGTTAGTGATGTGGTAAGCTTGATTTCGTGTTGGGACAGCGGGCTGCATGATGCTCCATGCTCTCCTTGTCTCACAACTTCCACCTGCCCTGAACAGCCCCTTTTCCTGCTCTCTTGTTTGCAGCCGATCCACCCTTCTTCCCATATGCAGCACAGCAATATTAGGCACGCACAAAACTCTGATGTGAGACTGAAGTGCTGTTGCACCTGTGTTTCCTTAGTGGACATCTTGAACTAATAAATTATCTTATTTCTCCCTGGAAATTATTTTGCTTCTCAAACTGCCATTGAACTCTACACTGAAATGGTTTATTATTGGGCCTTCTGTTGGCAAAACTCAGGGGTGACAACGTGATTTTGTTTAAAATTACATAAAATCTGTCTGGTTGTAAACAAATTGCAATCTTACGTCTTATGAGAGCAGAGACTCTCACACGGTTTGAAGGACATTTTTTGTGTTAATGTTGTTTTAATATAAGCCATAACAAGATAAACACATTTCTCAATGTAACAGTATATTGAGCTGGCACTTGATGTACTCAATCTGCTTGTTTTATAAAGTTAACTCTTCTGAACAGCAATCTATTCAGTTTGATAACTGAAAACATAACTTATGTTTCTTTTTATCATGCAGCGAGAGTAAGAAATCTGCATTCTGAGATGTGGGATTTAACCCAGTACAGCCAGTATTTAGCTGGTTACTGTGTGCTTTGTTTTTGTCATTCAGTCACAGAATAAATCTTTGTCATATACAGCAGTACCAACCAAACAGTAAAAACCTGGAGGGGACAAATACAATTAATACAACTGCTGTAAGGCTTAATGTAATTATTTGGTCATATGGTTACTAATTTGCAAACCCTTGACAACTTCTTTGTAAATCCTGAATATCCTTGACTGCTTTCCTCACGTCTCCTTTTGTATTTTATTTCAGTTATACCAGGTATGCGTTCTCATACCATATCTTTTTCCAGTTATTGATCTGCATGTTAATGTTTCTTACTCAGTTCACCAGAAGCATATCTTTTAGACAGTGATCTAGATGGATTCCAATATGAATCTGTCTAGTTGTCAGGATACGATAATAAAAAGAATAGTGAAACCAAGCAAATCCATTATGATTTTGAACTTTGAAAAAAAAAATATTTAATTGTTTTCCCCTTGTCAACCACTTGGGAACAACACAGCAATTTTTTCTATGTCATTTTGAATACCAGCACTGTATTTTGCAGACACTGTGATAAAGTGTATAACTTTTATGTAGCTAATTGCCCTAAATAAAAAATTCTGTATAAAAAATTTCCTTAGCTGCAGCTAGTGTTTCTAGGGAATTGAAATGCTCGTACAACTCAGCAGTTCTTAATCCTAGTTCAGGGGAGCTTATTTAGTTATTAAAATCTTGGAGATTTGTAGTTCTTACAATCTTTGGAAATGGTGGTTAAGGATTTAGCTTCTGCTGCCTCTGGTGGGAGAAGAGAAAATCCAGTCATGCAGGTCGATTTGGCAGGCTGAATGGCACTAGCAGAACGTGTTGTGCAGGACTGTATGCGAGTGTAAGTAGGATATCTATTTACATTAATGAATTTTACTCAGGTAAAGTAGTCCTAATGAGCTCCATGTTAGGTTTATATATGCTGAATTTAAAGCAAATGCCACTTCTCCATCTTGCTGATACGCTTTCAATTCAAAGATATTCAGATTCTGATGAACAGACCTGTTCAGCTGCTTGTGTTTTAGAGGTTTACAAGTATAATTGAAATCACTTCAGCCCCTGCTTTGTATTACACATGTAGATACTGTTCTCTGTTGTGTAATCAGCTTTCTATAGGTGATTATCCGCTTTGAAGACCAGTAACATTTTTGCAGTCTTTCAAGTGTTGATCCCTGTACCAGGGATGGTATCCCTGTCCTGCAGGCTTCTCTTTCTTTGCTCTGTCAGTTATTACCAGTTACAGCCATTGCATTCAGTCTTTAATGGTCAGGGGAGTAACCTCATCTTGAAGTACCAAATTATGTGATTTGAATATAAGCACATTTATGATTAAACAAATAAATAAATGTATCTGGTTTTTAACATTATGCCCTTTCCAGCTAACCCTGAAAATTTTACTTAATCACTGAAATATCTCAACAGTGTACTTCATAGATGAAATGTATACATGGCTGGGGCAAGTGTGGACTGCAGTTGGGTCTAAGGATTCCTGTACTTATCCCTGTGCTTATGCTACTGTCATGTTATAAAAAAGTAAGCACCTTGCCTCTTAAACCCATTTTATTTCGTACTTTCCCCACCAAATCTATATACAACTTGGGTGTCTGCTGGTCCTTGAACATTCTTGAACTTCACCTGCCTCTGCAATCCGCCAGTTCTTCTCCTCCCCCTGACAAATACAGCCTTTCCTCTAGCTCTCTACTCCACTCTAATGACACCATTTTCTCTATTCTTAATTTTTTTTTCTTTTTATCCTGCCTGATTCTAGGCTGTGTACTCAGATCTCCTCTTTCTTTGTCTGCTGCTTGTTTCACTAGTTGGCACAGTTTCTAGATTTCTTCCCTCCTCTGCATTTTAGCACATCTTTCAGCCTTTTCTCTGACTGCAACCATTGGGTGCAAATACCAGCACACTCTGATATTTTGTGAGCTAGAAGGGCAAAGTTATATTCCTGTGTGTCTCTTTCTGAGTTTTTATTTAACTTTATATCATTTCATGCTGGGCTCTTCCACTTGTCAGGGTCTTCCTGTACTTGCTGATAATCCTCCTTGGACTGTTTTGTAAATCCACTATCTCTTTTTCTTTCAAGTATTTTTGAGACTCATTTCTGCAAAGATAACAATTTAAGTAGTTTGACTAGGCAGAGTAGACATGATGTTTCTGCAAATGTGTCATGTTCAGCTCCATGCTAGCATTTGTGGCCGTAGCCTTTTCTTCTGCAGATGAGTCCCCAGTATGAAATTTTCAGTGCTTAAGTGATGTTTTGCATCAGCTTTGTATGGAGGAGATTATGCAAGACACACAAAGAGAGAGATGTAAATGTCTGATCTGTTACAAAAGCAAATAGGAAAGTAATCAAATTTGACTGTTTCTATTTGCGTACATAATTTTACACTCAGATATGCAGATACTTAGGCAACCTTTACCTGTGTAATGATTTAAGAACTCATAGACATACAGTTGTTGGTGAGTAGGAAAGCAAACTAATTTACTTGGGAAATCTAACCTTGCAGACATGCATGGTTAAAAGAATGTGATTTTGAAGGTCAAATTATGCTGAACTATGAGTTTGAGTGCATAACGTATTTAATATCTAATAGCGAGATGCATAAAGTCACATAAGGTAGCTGATCTATCATAATTTCAATTAGTAGTATTTCTGATTATCAGTGGAACTAAATGTATAGTTAAGTATAAGGAAAGACTGTATGCGAGATCAGTATTAAAAAAAAAAAAAAGGCAGTCATCTGTGACATACCTGACTGTCTTTTCAAAATCTCCTCTTATCCTACATAACGAAACCAATGCTCTTGCTGATAGCGGCTGCTCCTGACTTGCTAGCTTTTGTTGCCACATGCTATTTCCCTTTCTAAATCACCTGGGCAACTTTCTGTGGTATACATTCAGGGAAAATTATTTTGAACCTCAAACAGTAAGTTTCTTAGAGCTAAGAAGTTTTAGCTCAAGTATTGTGAATTTCTTTGGATCCTTGCAGTAATTGATGGTGTGAACTAAATACAATATGGACCTATCAAGTGATGACAGTTTCTACAAAAGGAATCAGTTTACGTTCGTTATAAGAACTTGTCTGTTTTGTTTCTTTTTAATCCCACAGATGTATTTAGTGATTTTTCCAGAGGGTACTCGTTACAATCCAGAAATACCAAAAGTCATTGCAGATAGTCAATCATTTGCTGAAAAGGAAGGTAAGCAAAGAAAGTTTTGAAATAATTCTTTTGTAACAGTGTTAACAGATGTTATATAAAAATGTTATACAGTATGAAGATGTTCTCACCTTAACTGGACTGTTTAGCCTGCCTGATTGATACTTAGGGGTTAGAGTAGCATAAGCCAGCATTTCTCTTGCCACAGAGTAACATGAGAGTAGCTTATATACAGACATTTTGTGCCTTTCACATTGTGCTAGAGTATTAATTCTCAACAAAGCTCTCTTTAGTTTCTATCTGTATCTGTGTATTTGTGGACACTTCTTTTCTTGCTCCTTCAGAGACATGAGAATTATCTACACTAGGTCAGGGCACTGTTATATCTAAGTTGACATTATAACTCCAGTTACAGTTGTTACTTGATATAAAGAATATTTTGCATAAAATTCTTGTGCCTTGAAAGAAAAAGCCTTTTCTCACTTCATTTTTAGTTACTGTTAGTGCTACTATAGCTTTTGGTTTTGTTCCTCACTCACTTTCCAGTCTTGCCCTTCCTTGGTTGAACTTTATTCTGTAGTGACTTTGACTGTTGGTGTCGTCTCTGTAACCAGAGATGGAATTACTTCATCTTTGGAAAGGCTTGCAATAAAGTCGAAGGGTCCCAAGCTTTTTTGTTTTTTTTCTCACGTCATATGCACAGTACACGTAAACTTTTAAAGTCCAACAATTTAGTGAACATGCTTCCTGGCTTTGTTTTTTCCTGTTGACCAGAAGTGAAATAATTCACTCTAAAGGTAAACAAAGAATAACAAATAGGTCTGGTAAATTCATTTATGTGACACACTGAAATGAATTCACAAGTCTGTGAATCAGCCTGTTGATATCATCAAGCTATTAAGTATTGTTAGCTCTAGTCCAAAAGGATATATGCTTTTCTTCTCCTCCTTGGGAAGAACGGTATTTGTTTGCGTGTATGAGCAGGAGAGCTTAAGTCATAATGTATTTATTCATTGCTTCAATTTCCTGTCGGAAATGAAAGTCAAATGTTTCATTTAAGCTGGTGGTTCTTTGAGAGTTCAGAGCGGCTGTTTGATAGGAATTTTTTTCCTCTCCTTTTTCAGGGAAAAGAAAGGCCTCTCATCATTATTATTTTAATAAACCTCTTAATTGTATCTCTGCAGCCTGCAAAACAAACACTGCTTTTGTGCTTTCAGAGTATCTGTTCATTTATTCTAGTGCTTTTCTCTCAGGTATTGGTCTGCTTTTATTTTGTGAGGGTTACTCCTTTTAAAAACTCTCAATAAAATATTTATAAAACAGGAGTCATCTCCAGTACTAGTGCAGAGAATCGTTTTTATCTGCTTTTCCCCACAGCTAAATTCTTTTGCTGTTGGTCTCTCCTCAACTTTTTATATGGAGAAAATGGGAAACAGTCTGCATGAGGCCCTGCTCTAAGATTGATACTTGCTTGAATTAGAGCATCCCTTGTACAAGCATGCTGAGAAGCAGAGGTGCTGACGCTGAAAGCTGCATACCAAACTCTTCTGATGGCTAAGAGCCACGAGGCACATACCAGTATAAAACACAAACCAGTACATCAGGGAGCTGCAAGGACAGGGAACTCACATGGCCACCAGCAAGATGATGGCACATCATCCCTCAGGTCCCTATCAGGCTGTCCAAAATACTGGTTTTGGTTTAGTAGTTTTGCAGAGAAGAATTATGAAAAGGTTTTGTGGGGTTTGTGTTTACTTTTATTCTCCATGGGCTGGATTCTACTAGAAAACGTTTATTGGTTTAAGCAGAATTATTGGGCTGAACTGAATTACCTAGTCTTAGTGTGACCAGTTGGTGAGCTGCACCTCATATCTTGATGTTCTTTTTAAGTAAACACCAGTTGTGGACACACTTTCTACCTCCAGTTCAACAAAAAAAAGAAATTTAAAAAAACCAAAAGAACTTAGGTTGATGTCCAAAGGAATATTTTGACATTGCTGGTTTCAACTATTGTGTCTTTCCTTATTGATAAGAATATATAAATAAATCTTATCTGTCTCTGAATAGGATGGAAGGATATCAAACAGCAAAAGAATTTAAAGGTGATTGAGGTCACCCTTGAAAGAGAGGCAGCTTTTTGAAATCCCTCATGTTACAGTTTGTTGTGCCATAGACTTGGTTTCTACACAAAATCTTGACTCATAGCAAGAGCAGATGGTTTTCCTCTTTCTGAAACAGACAAATCAAACACACAGGCTAGATCAAATAGATCTGGGTATGAGTGAGGTGAGCCTGAAGGCTGTAAAGCACAGGGAAACTTCTAGGGAAGGAGTAGGGCCATGTACTTTCTTACTATTTTTAGAAAGAAATAAAGGATATAATACAGTAAAAAAATTGAATGCATGGACTGGTCTTTCAAATTTGTCATTAACTCCTTTGCCAAGTTCAAGTTAAATGTACTGCCAGGTTTTTGTTAATTAAGACCAAAGAATGCCCAAAACATCTAGAGGTAAAATTGATAAAATTAGAGTATTCATATTCATGGTTTTTATGTTGGAGACTGACACGGCCTTCAGCACTGATAGATTTGACACAGCAAAATTCTACTCTAATTAAGTTAAACTCCGTTGCAAGTTCTGTCCACAGTGGTTTTCATTAAGATACAGAAAGCTGCTTACTTCCAGGAATACTGGCTTTGTGGTGATGAACTGAGAATATTGTCATCTAAGGGTAATGCTGGTACCCTCAGAAAATGAAGATTACTCGTTCCACACATTTTACAAATGGCAGAAAATTTCAATTGCATCAGATTCTTACCCGGGATAGAAAAGAAAACATTTTAAAATCAAAATACATTGGTTTGGTTACACTGGGAAAGGAATCTTTTAAGCCTGGATGTTTTTAGTGGTACTGAACTATAGAACAAAATTTCTGTAAGACCCACAAATACATGGCAATTGTTTCTTGTACCATCTTCTGATACAAAGTCTGTTCCATTTGTATGTTCCTAAAATATATATGTATAGATTTCTGATTATTTTCTAGTAGTCAGATGTCTGTATAATGTTCCAAACAACCACAAATTTCTTAGGTTTAGTAAAATGCTAATTTTCTCCAAATGTTAAAAAATGGCATTTTAAAAATTTGAAAATAAATAGGACTAATCCAAAGCCCTCCTACACATGATGTTACTAACTCTGAAAAGTCAAAGAGAAGGGGGTAAGAAGCTTGTTAAATTTAACTTGGCTTGCTTTTGCTGAATGAAGACGAAACAGTCTTCCCTGGTAAAAGGCATTTATGGAATTTTGTATTAATGTTTAAATTCTAACAAAGGTCATTTAATCAAGCAAACATTTCAGGTATTCATTTATTATCTCTCTTGTTTTTAGGAAGCAAAGTTGCAAATGAAAATGTTTTTTAATGCTAGGTTTATCTTGACTGGTATCATGCTTTCTGCTAAGATGTTTGTATGTGCAGGATATGCTTATCTCAAAATTTTCCCTTCTAGTTCTTGGCATTGGTTTTAGATTGTGTTTTAAAGTAATCTGAAGTATTTAATATCCATAAATGTTATTTGGAACTGTCTTTAAAGAAAATAGCTTTTAGTGATATTTTTTCCACACGCTTTCATGTAAGCAAGCTTGATGTGAAAGTGCACAGTGAGATGTGGGAAGGAAAATACAGGTTTTAAAAAGAGTGGGATGTGGACATTGAGTGGCATTTGAGACATGTACCATTAGGATGAAGAACAGATTTCTGTTATTAAAAGTCATCCATAGGAAATAAAGTTTAGGAAAGCAAGAGGCGGCCTTGTATTTCTGTAGATACCCATCACAGAAGGATGTGTGCCAAAGAGTGGTGTCTCCCATGTTTTGCTGTGGGATGGTCATACCCTTCTTGAGGGGTTCACTTGCATTTCTTTTACCTTAGTTCATGGTAATAGAAAACACATTTTACAAGAGCATGCAATTTTCTAATACTGCCATCAGATGAGTCCTATTTTTGTAAGTCAATGGCATATTAGCATCCAAATGGATGATCTTGCCCACCATGTGTCAATTTGTAAGTCTCACTCTGGACTCTGGTTTCAGTAAGATTTTGATCACTGGGAACATTCCAGAAGGCTGGTGGGAACTCAGTGTTGGGTGAGGATGGGGGACACTCCAGGAACTGCAAAGTTTTCAGTCTAGTATCACTCCTGTGCACACATGCACATGAAAAAAAAATTAAGGAAAGAAAGACCTAATTTGGATTGAAATAATTTAATTGTTTTTCACCCTGCTCTCAGTTTTACAGGGGAGTGGGGGGAGAAACTCAAACTAAATCTCTCATTGTCATGGTTTATGCCAAGTGCCTAACTGAGCACCACAATGCCCCAAAAAGGACTAGTCAAAATAAAGACTGGGAGGGCTTCTCACCACTTAAAAAGGTCGCAGGCAAAAGACAGACTCATCATAAGGAATAAAAAACAAAACAATTTTAATTTGTTACCAACATCAGAGTAGAACAATGGGAGATACAACCAGATCTTAAAGTCAAAACACCTTCCCTCCACCCCTCCCTTCTTCCTGGGCTCAGTTTTTGTTCCTGATTCCTTCACCTTCCCCCTCCCTCTTTGCCTTGAGGCACAGAGGAATAGGAGTGGAGGTTGCAGTTGGTTCATGCCATGTGCTCCTCAGGAGTAGGAAGACAGCCCAATCTCTCTCTCTCTGCTTCCACATTGCTCCCCCATTTCCACAGGGAAAAAAGTCCTCAAAAGTCCAATCTGGGTCTGCCCACAGCTGCAGTCTCCCTCATACATGAACTGCTCCAGCACTCACTGCCCAGAGTCACGGCTTCTTCAGGGGCAGCCGTCCAGGGGCCGCCCCCGGCTCGTGTGGCCCTGCCCCACCAGTGAACTCTACAGGCTGCAGGCCACTCGACCCGGCTCTTGCCACAGGTTGCAAAAAGGGAACCTGGGCTCTGCGTCCTCCTCCTCCTCCTCCTCTCTGTCTTTTCTTTCCTTCAACCGACCTTGGTGTTCTTCAAAGTTGTTCTTCTCATGCCCCACTCCTTTCTCGGCTGCAGGTCTCTTCTGATGGCTCTGGAGTTCCCAGCTCTCTCTCTCTCTTTTTTGGGATGGAGCTGCAGTGGGGCTTAAGCTTAAGCTGTGGTCGGGGCCGGCCAAGCCCAGCCGGGCAGGGCTGGGGCCAGGGCCACACCACCCACACCTGGGGCCACACTGGTCAGGGCCGGTGCCAGAGAGAGCGAGGCATGCCCTGCACCCCCCATTAAATACATGAATTCACAGGGGTGCTGATTGGCTTGGCCCTGGTCAGAGGTGGGTCTGACAAAGGCAAAGGGGGAGCTTTTCAGGTAGCTTCTTAAAGGGCCATCTCCATAGCCCTTCCCCTGTTACCAAAGTCACAACCAAAAACCCCTCACAGAAAACCCAATACACTCATCCACTTTCAGTAAGGGCATAACTTTTGTTGATGAAATGTGGTAATGGTAATATAGTATGCATAGGGTATTTTAATTTAGATCTAGGGAGGTTTTTGTTTGTTTTCATTTAAAAATGTGGGATGTGCACGTGTCAAGGGTACAAATATGACTAATGGAGTCCAATTCTGCAAATGTAGATGGCCTGTCTGCACTCAACAGCTCTGAGTTTTTGGCCTGGATGAAGGGAAGAGGAAGAGAGAACTTCTCCGTAGAGCTGTACTCAACTGTTACATACATAACCTCACCCTGAGAGGTTGGATAAATGACTTTGGCTTGATATTTTTTGTTCTTTTGTGTTTAGATGAAAAAAAAAAGACAGTTCTGTAGATGTTAATGTCTTTGTACTTCCCAAACTAAAATCTTACTTTATTTCATTCGGTTTTCTCGCAGACTTTCTGAAGTAATTCTGCATCTTATTATTGTCTAGTAAGCAGATGACAGTTGAAGTACCATTGCTCACCATATTTCTTCAGCTATTCCCATTCTTTTCATTTTTTTTAATGTCTGTTTTATCATTTAAAAGTCAGCTAACTTAGAAGAGCAAAGCTATAGCATTTTAAGAAAGAGTATTAAATTATTAGACATCTAGTTCATTTTCTTTGGCATTTAAAATAAAATCTCATGACCTCAAATACTTTGACAGAGAGTCCTAACTTAGTATTGCACAACATTAAAAACAGTTTAAGCACAGTGTGTTTTGTGAATTGGAGGCAGGCAGCTTGCCAAGGTAACGATATTGTAACTACTTGGGTTTAAATTCTGTTATGTTGATTTTAGCAAAGATCATGAAGTAACTGCAAGAATGTGTGGTTAATGCTTTTACAAAGCAGATTCTTTAAACGGATGCACTGAACTCCTGTAGTTGCTGCGTGTTTGTCATGCACTGGAGTGTTTCTGAATAATGGATTACGGACTTTCTTTGTGGATTCTAATTAGTTGGATGCTCATTTTGTACTTAAACCCTCAAGAGTTCACTCGTAGGAAATGGAGTAAAAGGGGCTTATTCTATAGTTGCACTGCACAGGCTGTTACTGACCATCTTCATCACCAACACTGGCCATGGATTCAAAAAACACAACGCCAAGTAGTCTTAGGTACCAGAATTAATTTGTCTAGAGGATTCAGTTCTCGGTGAAGTCTGTTCTCCTTTCTTCTTCCCCACAGTAGTAGTTTGAATAAGGGGAAGATGAGTTGGGCAGGAAAGGAATGTTAGTGTTTTTAGAATATATTTGGGAATTTGGACCAACAAGAGTTGTGTTGAGTGGAATATCCACACCAATATCATTGCTGACACAACACTAGAATATTCAGTGCTTCATTTACAGAGTAAACATTTGGAAACACAACATAATTAGCTGTTTGATGTAACAGTTCACAAGCTAAGAAAACACTGCCACTATGTTATGCTTCAAAATATTTACATGATCCATATAACGTTTTGCATAGACAGTTATCACTGTTGCCAGTAAAGCTTAGAACAATGACTTCAGAAGGAGTGCTAGTAAATAACCTTTTATCTATGTGTTCAGACAAGGATATCTTTAGCAAATATTAAGAAATCAAGATAACCATTTATCCTAAATTTTCAACTATAGAAATGTTAGAGCAGGTTAGAAACTAACATTATCTTACAGTATTCAGTAGATATTTTCATAATTTTTAGATCAAAGTATACTTTGCTTATCAAGGGTGAGAAGTTCCGTACAAAATCAGGATATAATATAGTACCTTTTAAACTGATTTTGCAAGAAGAAAGATACCAAGAGCAATATCACAGTACTTTGGTTTAGAAAAAGTTCCATTTTATCTATCAGGAACCAATAGCACCAATGGATGGCTCTTTAAAAGAGTAAGTCAGTGAAAAATAAGGCTAGAAAGGAATAATTGCAATTTTATTCTGATACTTCTCTCTGAAAAAGATACACATCTTACAACAAAATAGTGAACATTTTTGCATAATACGCCTTTTTTTTTTTTCCTAGAAGCACTTTTAAGTAAGTGTGGAAGAGCTGTGTTCAGATCTTGAAAAGGTCTGGGGTTTTTCTTGTCTGTGCGTTCTCATTTTGAAAATCATTGGATGTTAAAATTCTGGAAATAGAATAAAGTTTATACTTTCAAGCCCAGTGTATTTGTGTGTTCTTAAGTATGCTCTAGGTGGAGAAGTGGTCAGCTGAAGCAACCGTGGATACGAAGTACTGTGGTTAAGACCTGCAGAGTGCTCTTAAACCTGATGATCTTATGTCCTTAACATACAAAGCTCTGCGTCCTGACCTGGATGGTTAAGGACAACAGTTGATTTCTGTGACTGTAATAATAAGTCCTCAGTAAGGACTCTTATTGGACAGCCTTTTTGTCATTAATATCCTTTAGGATTTCTGTTTAATCTTCTGCATTTGCTCAGTAGAGCATATGCAGTGTGCACACATGCACACTCTCTCAACTGAGAATTGAGATTAAAAGTAAACCTTCCGTGATTTTTTTGAGTGAGTTTGCTGAAGTTCCTCGGCATAATGTTCCTTTTCTCCATGTAGTCCAGGTTACTTTCAAATACTGTAATTGTTATTCTTTTCCCCCTTCTAGGACTTGCTATATTAAAGCATGTGCTAACGCCACGCGTGAAGGCAACTCACGTAGCCATTGACACAATGAAAGACTATCTGGATGCAGTCTATGACGTGACTGTAGCTTATGAAGGTACTGTGGACCACAAAGGGCAAAGAAGACTGGCACCATCTATGACAGGTGAGTTGATGTATATTAGATGTGCCACAGCTCTATACTTGTTAATATCCAGAACCAACTTCAGGTGCTTTGCAATGCTCTGAAGATAATCTTCACAGTGCTCCAGCCATCTTATCACACCTTGCTAGGGCATTCTTCATCAGTGGCTAAGCTTTACAGTAGTTAGTTACCTGTGACATTCCTGCACTCTCCTTCCCTTCCCTATTCCATGCAGAGAATATTTCTGTAGTCAAATTCTGCATACAGGTGTTCTTTGGAGTTAAAATGAACTTGGGACCATAGGCAGCAGGTGCTATTTATTTTCGTATTTCTTCTAGCACTGGAGTTTGCCATCATCGTGAATTCTCTCTCTTTC